AATTCAATATAAAAAATTATTTCTGCGTCTAATTTTTTCTAATTATTTTAGCAGACAAATTTGTCTGCTAAAATGAACGGTTTAAGGGATAAACCTTGAATTCTGAAACCAAAAAAAATTAATTGGTTTATTTTTAATATTCAAATATTATTAATTTAATTTTTTGGGTTTTTTTTTATTTTTTAAAATTTTATTTTTTGTATTAATTTTACAAATATAAGAAATAAAATAATTTTAATAAAATACTTAAAAATTTTTTAATGGATACAAATAAAATTAAAGTATAAAATACAAATATATAATAATAATCTCATCTGATTTATAAATTTTAATATGATATTTGAGATAAAATTTATTTCGCAATTGATAGTATTATGTGTAGTATCTTTAGTAATCTGTTGTATTATGAAAACGTTTGACCTTCATGCCATAGTATATAGCAAGTCAGTTTTTCACATGCGACATAACATTTAAAAAGAAAAAATCTTATTTGATTCTATTTGTCTATTACATGAATAATTTGTTATCCTTATATTTGCTTATTGAAGAATTTGATTTATTTTTTATAAACTTCTTAGACTTTAAATTACCTTAATAATTTATTGTAAGTATTAGTACTATTTTATACCTGTATTATTGTCTTATCAGAATTAATATTTAAAAAATATTTTATTAGTTACCATACTTTAAATGTTAGAATAATCTCATATAGTCTATTAAAAATTATGATTCGTATAATAATATGTGTAAGATAACTAGGATAGATATAACCAAAAATTTTTGATCAAGAGTATTTCAATCAAAAATATATGATAAATGATAAATGTTCAAATGGTTTCTTTTATTTAAAAAGAAAAAAATAAATTTCAAGAGAGTAATCTAACAAAAATAAATTTTATCATATCTTTCATCTCCTGTCTAGAATCATGCTGATAATTGAGACTGTAAATAATATTTTAAAGTTTTCAAATAGCGTAATAAGAGAAAGAAATATATTTGCTAGACTATGATACGTAAGGCAAACTCTATCAAATTATTTATTGATATAACGTATTCTATTTATTAATAATCTAATTAGATAATAAAAAGGAAAAAAATATATTTAACCAATAAAAAGATTTTCTTCTTTTCTACTGATAAATTTTATTTCTGTTTAATGCAATATGTTGATTGAGGAAATATATTTGACCAATAAAATAAATTTCATCCCTTTCTACTGATAAGCTTTATTTCTATTTAATGTAACATGTTGATCATGTTAAAAATAAAAATAATGTAATACAAAAGATATTTTTGGTAAGTAATCAACAAATTAATAATTGAGATGTAAATAATTTCAAAATCACAAAATCATGATTTTCTTATATTTTAAGTTAGATTCAAATTCTAGATTTTCTCCTTTTTTAATAACAAGATCCCATAAGTTAATAAGTAATAATTATATTAAATGAAATAAATTAGTTAAATATAAAGTATATATGATATTATTGAAGATCAGAATTAATTTTATGAATTTTTGTGTATTTAATAAAAAAATGCAAGAGCTATTTAATTATAAAAGTTAAAAAAATATATATTTATATTTTTTTGTCTTTTATAAAAAAAAAATTTATATATAAAATATTGAAATTTTAATATAATAGTTAAAATTTATTTTTATAAACATTTAATAATAATAAATTTTATTTATTTTATATCTGCAAAAAATTTAAATTCAATTAGTTATAAAATTTATAATTTAGAATTTTAAAAAAGTTATATATATTATCACAAATAAAAGATTGTGATATATAAGACCTTTGTAATAAAAAGAAGGATATTGCTGGAAAAATAAAAAATGAGTTAATTCTAAATTTGATCATATTTCAACCTAAAAATCATATTTGACATATAAAAGTAAAATTGATTTTTTTTAGCAGTTTCTTCACTTTCTATTATAAAGGCCTTAAACAGTATATTCTTATTTTATAACTAATATTTAAACTATTATGCATTAAAATTTAATAATATTTCATAATAATACTACTGTAAAGTATATTAGTATTGCAATTATAAATTATAAAACAAATGGGTTAGTATGTATGAAAATCATGTTACAAGACTATGTAATTCATGTGATCAAAACCTGATTTTTGTATGTACTAACCTATATAATATTAAGTAATTAGTTTTTTTAATATAATATTATATTGAGTAAATAAAATTATATTAATTTTAATTATATTAAAGATTAAATTTAGTATAATTAGCTGATAAAAATATTAATTATTTAAATTAAAACAATAATAAATATAATAAATAATATAACAATTAATGGTTTATTTAAAAGTTTATTATTCTATAAAAAATTTACTTTTTTTAAATACTTTTTTTTAAAGAGTTAATTTACATTTGAATAAAAAAGTTATTATATTTATACAATTAATTTGCTATGATTAACCATTTGCTACACTATAAACTAACTAAATTTGTAACTATAAATGTTAATATATAAGATATAATAAATATAAGTAAGATAATAAATATAATAAATATAATAAAAATAATAAAAATAAGTAAAATAATAGAAACAAGTAAAATCAGAAATAGAAATATCAGGATTATAAGAAATATATTAAAAAATCAGGTAAATCAGATAAATCAGAAATTATGCAAATCTTTTAATTTGTGATCAACATAAAATTAATTCTATTAATTTTATAGATAATAATAAATTTTTAGCTGATAATAGCATTAAAGGATAATAAACATATTAATATATTTGCTTTCCAAATAATTGATTGATATTTCAAAAGAAATTATTTTTTATAAAAAATAACAAAAAAATAATCAAAGAGAAATTAATGATAATTAGTTTGATTTAAATATTCCATTTTCTTTTGATTTATCTAAAATTGTTAATCTAAATCTTAACTTTAGACAATTTATTTTAGTTTAACCTCAAAAAAAGAAAATATTTATATTTTTATTTATCAATTAATTGAAGTATTAATAGTAATTTTTTTTAAAAAATTTTTATAATATTTAATTTATTATATTATATAACATTTATTTATTAGTTATAGCTCAAGAAAGATGATACAATAATAAATAATTAGTAGATTATATTATCTATTCTATATTTAAAACATATGTATTAAATGTGAAATTGATATTAAAAAAGAAATATTTGTAATCATTTAGGAAGAAAAACAAGTATAATTGAATTATTTGATCTTGGAATTCCTGAAAATACTGGTATGGTAAATACTGGTTACTATTCTATCAAAAATTATCATACATATGGGAGGTTTGCTAGGAAAATGAGGCTCTGAGAAATTTTTATTAAAATTTTAATTTTTATTGCATTTTAATTTTTGATAATGTTAGATTAAAATGCAACATATATTAAAATTTTAATAAAAAATGCTCAGAGTCCCATTTTCCTAACAAACCTCCTATATGCAAAACCAAATAATAATCACAAAAATAACTGTTTTTGATATAATTGATAACTTAAATGATTGCATTATTATTATCTTCTTTTTATTTGAATTTATTATAAATAAATTTCTAATTCAGAAGAAACAATCATCTATAACTATTATATCTGATAGTGAATCTAATAATTTTAATTTGGATAATAATAATAATACAATTCAAGTACAGTCAACTCTCTCTAAGTGCATTCCCTCAGGACTATAATAAAAATTTGAGAAAATGTATACTTAGAGAGGGTGTGCATTTAAAGAGAGAAATTTTATATGATCTTTAAATACTTGGGACTGAGTAAGAGTGTGTGTGCATTTAGAGAGAGTGCATTTAGAGAGAGTTGACTGTATGTTTATTTACAAAAAATGTAATTTACTAATATTTTTTAAACAAAAAATCTAGAAAAATAATGATTTATTTTCATTACTGCTAAATAAAGAATTAATGCAAAAGAATACAAAACGCCCTTTACAAGAATTTAAATTCTATACAATATAACAATATAAAGATAATATGAGCAGAAAGTAATTGTAATCAAAAAGTATTACAAAAATTAGATGTTATTATATTATATCTGTTATTATACTACAATACGTACTACACATTTTGACGATATTTTATCATCAATGGATAATAAAAACTTTGCCTCTACCTTTATGATCTTGCAATATATCACATATGCATTGCTTACCGGAACTGTGTGAAGTAGTCTCTGATAACCCGTGAAGTTACTATAAATAATCACCCTATGTGAGATATTTTCTGTTATCTCTCTCTACACGATCTCCAAGAAAAATTTTCAAAAAAATAAGAATCATATATATAAGACAGGTGAAGTCTCATCTCATCCAAATTCATCAATGGGATAACTATCATGGAGCGCAATCGCAGACATCATCCAGCAATAATCAAACGACCAAATAGCTTGAAATCAAGAAAAAGAAATATTGACTATGACACAAGATATGAATATCTTGGTGAGCTGATTCCTGATGTGGTCGTGTAAGGAAAAGTTGGCTATTATTTAACTTTGCTACGTAAAGTTATTAAAAAATAGAGTAGATTACGTTTAAAGGGAGGAATAAAGCATGAAATATCATGTCCACGGACCTTTTAAATAGAAAATGGCTCGTTACTAATTAAGTTATCATTATGCTAACTATCCATAAGCTTTCTCCCCAAATTTCATAATTTACCCAATTTCAATACAGGAAAAATCCCTCCAGTATTAGAATGATTCGTAAATGCTCGATAATTAATTTTGTAGTAAAGTAATAATGTCTCACTCAACGAATGGTTCTCTAAGGAAACGTACAAAAATTATTTTATTTATAATAATTGTTCACATCATGGGTTTCAAAATCTTTTTAAATAAAATGTTATTTTTTTTTTTTTTAATGATTATTTTCTTTTAAAACATTATTTTAAAAATATTTTGACAAAAAAATTAGTGATATAAAATTACATAAATGAATAGATTATTATTATTGTTTCAAATACTCTTGAAAAAAAATTTTGATATAGGTATTTTAATTTATCATTTCTTGAAAACTAGATTTTGAATTCTTTTTCTCAACATTTTTTGTCGCTTTAACATTTAATTGATCATCTTTTATGTCGATTTTATGCTCCTCGTTAACGTCATTGATTTTACCTACAGGTTTGGGAATTGGGTCAAGCCCACCAAAACCTTCATCTTTCCCTTTCAATTCAAGTTCTTTATTACGAAGTCGGTTAATTGCTTGATACAATCTTCCAATGATATTTATTGTCAAATTTAGACATGATGAAATAAGCGTAAGAAGAGGAATAATATCGTAATTTACGGTATTTCGTTGGTAGAAAATCTATATATAGATATCATATTTGTTAAAAAAGTTGATTAACTATGTTAAAATATAATGAATAATTTCTTACCTGAATGAATACTTGAGGAATATCTTCAAGGAAAACACTTAAACAAGCACCCCAGAATATTTTTGATTTTGCATCATTAGAGAATGGAGCTTGGAAAAATGCGAATCCAGCCATATTTGATTGAAGAATTGTCAAAGCTTCAATATCTGCACCAGCTAATAAAGTGAATATAGATGCAATCTTTCCATGTTGTGAAAACCATTTAAAGAACTCTTGATCTGTATTTTCATTTGTTATAATTAAAAAGGCTAAAACAGTGTTCAATCCAATAGGAACTGTTAAAAAGATAACACTTGGAATATAAAGCCAGTCAACGTCTCGAGCGTTGTTGCTGACAAAAAGAATATCCATGATCAAATCAAAAATGATAAGACCGAGTTGTAAGATAGCCATATTTTGACCCTTTTTTTCTCTTCGTTGTGCCAATAAGAAAAGCATAATTAAAGTACCCAAAGCTATAAACACCATAACGAGCTTCATTTTATATTTATTCCATAGGTTTGCTAGAATTATTATTTTTTTTTTTAAAAAAAATTTTTTTACTTTAAATTTTTTTTTCCATAAAATAAATAATCTTTTAAAAATTTTAATAACTTACGCGATGTTGGTAACCCATAAATAGCATCCAAATATTGAGTTGTTTGGCCCAATGAAATTGGTGATACTTCTTTATTTACGATCATTGTATCTAAATCTTTAATAATTGATTCAACGCTCTTTTCATTTTTATCTTTTGTTTGAATAATGTCCAACGATACTAAATATTGTCTTTCGGGTGAAATAGTGAAATCTACTTGGAATCGACCGTTGGATTTCAAACGTGAAGAAGGTATTGTTAACATTGTGGAGATTTCATTCACTAGATTATTAAAGAATTGGCTTTGTCCTTCCGAATCAAGTTGTTCAAAATGAGTTGACCCCTCGACCGTCAAACGTAATACTCCTGATGTGGAACCTACGACGCGAAATAAAAAAGAGTTAGATAATCTTTTTTTTTCAATTTGTAATTAATGGTTTATGATTTGTTATGAATATTTTTACACATACCTGCAAACTTAACTTCGCTGGGCTCTATATATTCATCATGCAAAGTAAATAAATGAATCAATCATCAAATAAATACATAAATAATTATAAAAGAGTAAACCTAGGAAATTTTACCTGTTGAAAATGTCCAAACCCTATTGCGTAAACCGATAAGAGGTTCTTTAAATGCTCTACTCTTTACAAAATTATTATCCATCGTAATATAAAAAGTGCTACCACCATGGCTAAATGTACTATCGATGATGTTAATGGTCACAACGTGACCATCTTCACTTATTTGACAAAATTTAGGATTTGTTCCAGAGACAAATTGTTTAAGAAATTCTTGTCCGTCTTCATTTATTTGATAAATTGAAATTTTACCATCCGAAAGATCCACTGCTTCGAAATAAGTGATTGAAATTTGTTTTAAAGATGATGATATCGTTGACTCAATTGGTGGTACCGTAGCATCAATATGTACGTTAGAATAACCGTGATCTTTGTCTCCAATAAATCTTGGAAGGTCGGTGAAAATTAAGGACCAAGTATCCTTTTCTTCTTTTTGAGCAACGAATAAAGTATTATTATATAAAATATTGAAAGCTCCTGCGACATTAGTGGGAGAGGGTTCAACTAATTCCCAAGGGATTCCATTCGTATCATATTCATCAAAGACATAAGCATACATGACCAGACCAGTTGGTTTAATTGGTAAATGGGAAGTTAAAATATACCCCCCATACGGTAAAGAATTTACTACCCACTCCGTTACTTTTACATTTATATTGTTCGGTAATACACGAGATATTGATGTAAAGCTTGTGACAGATCCGGAGGACAGGAAAGTAATTTTTAAATAATATAAATCAGACTTTGTTGGGTTGGTTGCGTCACCAAGATTTTGTTGTACGGTTAATGTGCATACGTGACCGACACCGACAAACGCGATATCACACTTTAACGCAGTAAATAATAAGTTGGTTAATGGAACTTGATATAAGAGGGATGGGGAATTAATTGATTTTTGTCCATATGCTAAAGAAAGAGCAAACAGTCCACCTCGAGGTAATAAAGGGTCAGCGTTATTAACTGTATCGGATGAATTAGCAAATACAATAGCGTAACCTTCATCGACGGTTGCGATTGTTGCGAATTGCGCGCTTTTGAAAATAGGAAGTGTGATAACTCCTCCAGATAATTTGATGATCTCGCTATTCACTCCTCTAAATCGGTTTAAAGAAAATAAATAAACAAATAAAAAGTAAATAAGTAAGTTAAATAATAAGCCGAGATGGAAAGCAAAACAAATTATGAAAATATCTTATTATTACATTGAATATTGTTGCCATTCACAATCAGTAGTCTCTCGTAACGCGGCCAAACGTAAAAATCCTTTTCCTGGATTAATGTTTACCGTGACAGCGCTTAAACCTGGAACCACAACTCTGGTTTTTGCATCTATAAAAGATAATCCCAAAAACGATGGCCTAAGGTTTTTAATGATGGTGGTAATAATAAAAACGATAATACTTTTTAATAACGACCAAAAAAAAAAAAAAAAAAGTTTTAAAAGTATATGGGTCCCTTACAATGGAAAGCGGGGAACTGCGGTTTCTCGCTTTCTAGTGTAAAGGGACATATTATATATTTTATAATACGAACTCATAGGTTTGTCCTTGCCAATCAATGATCATTCCCCATTCTTCCCAAGTTTCGGGTTTTAACTCATCGGTTGCGTTATAATATTGTAGTAGCAAATAACCAGGTTTTAATGCACTGATACTTATTGGATCAAAATTGTCTGGAACTGCGGCGACAATACAAAAATTAAAAGAAGGAATGTTTAATTCCACGTCCAATTCGGTTAAAGTGCCATTAGGATAAAGGATACGCAACATTAATTTTTGTATTAAGCAAGTTTTATTGGGTATGTTGATGCTGGTATCTCTTCGAATTATACGAAAAACTGCGGTTCCGTCTTCATACACTATACTATTCCATACTCGAGGTGGCGAAGGATATGATGTTAATTCTTCATGTACAAATGTTTTGAAAGATTCTACTGGTATTATTAATAAAACTGCCACGAGACACAATATCCCCGCGATAAAAAATGATTTCGACCGTTTCATTTTCTCTATTTTTAATTTATTTATTTTTATTCTTTTTTTGTGATTGATAATTAAAAATTCAATCAATGAATTTTATTTTAATTATAAATTATAATTTTTTTTTTGGTAGTATTATTAAAAAAAAAAAGGAAAAAAAAAAAGAAAAAGCGTCAACAACTTTAAAAGAAGCTTTCGTTTTTATTTCTTTTTTAAATTTTTTTTTTTTATTACGCGGGATTTATTGGACTTTTTATTAAAATTGTTAATATAGTAAACAAAAATGTACAATAAATTTGGTGTACATTTCTGCAATACAAGGTACATCAATTTTTATTGTTTAGGAAATTGTAATTTATGTATATTATATTATTAGAACCAAATTATCCAACAATAGATATCAATAGATATATGCATTACGGGATGCATATCCTTCGCTCCTATTTTGTTCCGTTTTGTTTTATTCTTTTTTTCTATAAAGAATATAAAAAAAAAACCGGTCATATGCAGGATTATGTATGTGATGTTAGTAATTAATTACTTTTAACGTTGTTGGTTGGTTTTCGTTCACCTAGTACAAAGATAAATAAGGCTGGGTGAAAATTCTCATCGCGAAGGTTTATAGGTAATCAGACAAGACATGATATGATATTCATGAAACGATAAGGTTCTTTTGTAGATTTGCGTCCAGGTTCGTTAATTCCGTCAACAAATTTACACGATGTTAATTGATGATAAAGGGAAATCCCTTGTTGACGGAAATCCATAATTTAAACAATGTTTGTATCAAATTAAAAGAATAAAAAAATGATTTAATCTACATCTGAAAGAGGAAATAATGTTAAATCTCTTTACCCATTATCATGAACTTCAAACGTTTATATTTATAAAAAAATATTCTAAAAGGTTTTTCAATCAAGGGTCGAAAGGGTTTGGTTATTCGTGTTACACTTTGATCGGTAATATAAATCATTTACTTTTTTGGAATCTATCAAAGAAACCCGCTGATTCGCATATGCACTACCTCGGCTTCTTGCTACCCTTAAAGTCATACCTTTGCAAGGTAACTCAATACATTAATTTTGACCTTTAGATGAACAAATCTGCGCAATTTTAAATTGTGATACCTTTTTCCTTTTTCCTCTTTCATTTTTTTTTTTGTCAAGGAAACACATTATATCTACTTCTTATTTTCTTTCTTTCTTTCTTTCTTTTTTTGTTTTCAGAATATTCGAGTAAGATACCGTGAGAATAGTTATGCGTCTGAATGCTTTTTGCGACCAATTTTGCGTTTCCGATACCTCGCATCATCATCAAAATTGTATAAAATGAACATTTCATTTATCAGAAGGAAAGAAATGCTTGTCAAATAAAGACGCAACTTTTGCCGCATTCGCATAAAACCTTATTTCTATTTAAATAAGGTTTGCCTCGATCCTTTTGACTTCTAATAAATAATTCTTTATATTTCGCTCGTATATTGAATTGAATTGAATTTATTTTTATTTTATTATTATTGTGACTTAAACATTAACATTTAACATTTAACATTACTTCACTTTGTAGTTTACGGCCGATTTACGCCGAATCATGCAGGAAGAATGAAAGAATTCTGAAGTAGAAAAATTTCTATTTATTTATTTCTTAAATAAATTGTATTATTGAATATTTTGATTTTCAAGGGAACCAACCACCATAGGTTTACTATAAAAAAAATATTTATTTTTTTCGAAATCCCTGAAAATCAAATAACCTCACATTTACCCCATGAAGAAAAAAAAGTTTTTCTATTATTATTATTAATATTATTTAAGGAGGATACGTGTTGCATTTTTACAATTCACATTCTACGAATTTTACTAGGAGCATTCCATTTTAATTTAAAGGGTACTAATGAAACTGATGGATAAATGAATTAATAAAGGGTAAAACGCTACTTTAGTAATATTATCTTGGTAAAAGATTTGTATTGTCTGATGGTTGTTGGCAATTTAAGGATTTACTTATTGCGCCAATAAGAACAATATAATCGAAACTTATCACGTGATGACCAATTTATCATTACAATTAAAATCGTATTATTATTAAAAGAGAATTACATAAATGTATAATTTATTTATATTAAAGTTTCATGATCTTGAGCTCTGAGCTCTCAAGGGATTAACTACCAAAATGAGTGGGAATCTTGAACCCTTCCATCGCCATATCAGAGAAATCGTCCATTCCTGGATAAAATAGTGTATCAAATTTAATTAAAAAAAATTAATTAATAGATGAAAGCGATAAATTTCCCGCTGTTTCAGATATGTACACAAATTAATGCATTGAAAGACATCATGCGCCTTTTAGTTTTAAAATATTGATCTAACCTTGTTAATACTCCCAATGAAAGTTGCATGTTCTCTCTTTTATCAAGTATATAGCTCAATGTACACATCTTTAGTATTAGCACGGAATGTATTGACTTCTCTATTGCCTTTTTGAAGAAGAAATATGATTTTTGGCTGATTTCCACCGATAATTTTAAGATTCTATGGGATCTGATAGCTGATTCCAAGCTTTCAAGGCTGTAAAGGCAAATATAAGTTGCTGAAAATTTTGTCAGACTATGAAAGGCTCAAAAGAATCTAATCATCATTATAATAACTGTAGAGGACTATACAACGTGCCTACTAAAGAACTAAATTCAAAAGGGTTATGCAACCCGCTTTACACATTTTCATCATTGTTTGTAGTGTAGTGTAGTGTAGTGTACGCCGCTGTTTCTAAATTCTAGATTGTTCTAATCTTCAATTTAGGTAACCTGAGTACTGACCACTTTTTTTTGGAAGAAGTTTCAAAGAAAATATTGGTTAAAAAATTATAGAACATATTTTTTGTTTTTACTGATCTGGTGAATAGATAAACCAAAAATTAATTTGCCATGGAATATTCCGATCTTAAATAAATTTATTGATTACAATTCTATGACGTTTTTTGCTATATCTTTGAAGTAATTTTTGGTTTTTACCCCTTTCGCAAAAAGATCTAAACCGGTAATACCATCTGAAAAAATACTGGAATCTATGGTTCTAGAATTAGATTAGCACGCATTCAACCCTAAATGATTTTGAATTTTTGAACGCCACAAGTTATTGTTTATAAATATGGTTGGTGTTTATCGATCAAAAAAAAAAAAAATTAATAGATCATTTTCTTCGAAAATTATACTTGAAACTCTGCAATTTTAAAAAGTATATGTATATATATTTGTATATTTATTTTAACCATGAATGAACAAGATAATGAATATGAGCAAGACAATGAATATGAGCAATGGTTAAATAAATGGTACAGCGAGTGTCGTCACAAGTATATTGACCTCATCGGTGATTTTGGAGGTAATTATCATTATTTTATTCTTCTATATAATTTGAAACAAAAAAGTTAAACGTTCATCTTATCGATTTAAATAATTATAGGTAGCGAATTATTCGTGATAGAAGGTGATAGTTTACTTTTCAAATTCATCTATGATCCTGAATCCGATTTTCTGGATTTTAGTCAACCTTTTTGTGGTGGTCAATTTTTGGCTCTCACCTTTTTGGTCGAAAATTTTCTTAACAAACTCAAAGAACGTAAATGTGTCTTTAAAGTCGTTTTCTTTGATGATTATCAATCTCTATGGAATAATCGACCAATATTGCGAATCGCCAGGGAAATTATTATTGATCATTTAAAATCTCACGATATTGTCGTTAACTTTAAGAATTGGTGGTCTCCTGAATGGAATGAATATTTAATCAACAGGCAACCGTTGTTTACTCTAGTTGGTGATGGTTCAACAGAGCATTTAGAAATTGACATTGACGGAACGTGTAAAGAAATTCTGGATGATTCATCCCTTCTTGGGATCGCAACAGAGAATTCCTTAAGGATGACCATTGTGTTTCGAGCATTCTTGTTTCATTCTCTTCACGTCGATTTACCTGTCGCACTTTTGCCCGGAATGGAATTTAGAGATACACGTGCTTACGCTTTCGTATTGGAAAAGAGTCGAAGTATGGGTCCCGAAATTCTAAATAAATCAGTTGAATTAGCCAAGAAAGTACTTCAAGTGTATGATGAAAAGTTGCTGTGGTTGAAAGGACCAGTTATGGAATTCAATTTGAATCCATCTTGTAAGGATTTGTTAACCTCTCAAGAAAGTTTACAAGTATGGTCCAATGGTGGGAAAAGGATCGCACTTATTTTATTATCTCTGACAGGGGTTTTATGCAATAATATTGGTCGACCAGACTTTAAATATCTAGCAAAGACTTTTTTGCTTCACACCATTATCCTAGATTACCTTCCTTTAAACTCAAGGACCGCCCCACCAGTAAATGATGATGAACATGTTCAGAGTTATAACAGGATTCAACTATTCTTAAAAGTTTTTTACGATTATTGTGCTAAAATTTATATCAGTGGCATCCTTCTCGATTCGATCAGAAATTTTCAAGACTTAAATAAGAACCTTTATGACCTTGTTGATGCGAGACTTTTCGCATCTTTGATCAAATTTCAGTATGATGATGAATTGAATTTCAATGTTTTACCTACTGAAATCAAGAATCAATTTGAAGATTGTTGGAACCTTTTAAAACGAATTTGTGAATGTAATGGGAATTCTTTAAATCTCGATGATGATGAAAAATTCAGAAAAGAATTTCCAATTGAATTTATTCCAAAATCAAGTTTAGAACTTAACAACAGAATGTCTCTTCTTCCTTTTAATTATGAATTCTTTGACGAATATCTTGGGGTTATGGATTTATCACTTCCCGAAAATTCGGGTATAAAAATTGCCTCCGGTCATTATGGACTTAATAAAAACGTTTATTACGATGATACCACTCCTTGGACTTCTAAAAACAAGATTGAAGAAAAAAAAATATCGAGTAAACATGCAACTTCTTGGAAACGTAGAGGGTATCAACAATATGTAAGGTTCATGGAAAAGTATGCGGAATCATTAAATGGCACGCAAGGTTATTATACACAAAAAATAGTTGTTGACAAATTTTCAAAATCTTCAAAACCTTCAAAACCTTCAAAATCAGTTAAGAAAGAATCTGCTAGTGCAAAAGCTATGAAAGAAAAAATCAAAAAGGAAAAGTTAGAGAAATCCCTGAAAGAATCTGAACAGTACCTAGATAATTTATTGAAAGAATTAAAAGATAAAAATCTCAATAATCAAATTAGTATTTTGAATACCGGTCTTGACAAAGAAAACAAGCTCGAACATCAACTCACAAAGTTTAAAGGTCAATTCAAGAAATTGGAATTATTGGTTAAACTTTGGGCTGAGCAATGTAAAGGTCATGGCGTCGTGAAAGATTTTGCAGTTCCCATAGATATATTATATCAAGTTTTTTATATTGTGCAAAATTTTCCAGAATATCTGGATGATAAAAGGAAAGGTAACTTGATTGAAGTTCTAACTCGACTTAAATTAAACAGTTGTTTAAACAATTGTAAAGAACGCCTGAACAAGAAAAAACCTGATGCTGATTCAAAAGGAAAAGTAGAACCGGTCAAGTTTAGATTACCCAGGGATTCGATTGATTTATCCATTGGGATGTCTGATACGAGACTTCAAATGTTATACGCAGATCATTTAATGGAGCGAAATACGAATTCTGTAGAAGATCCTCGAGTCCCATTTAAGCCAGGCAAGTTTAAAAAATTAAGGTCAAAATCAACTTTGTGTATAATATGATTGTTGGTTAAATAATTATATTACTTTATTAGATGATTGGCAAGTTAAAGTTTTGGATATAATTGATAAGGATGAATCTGCTTTGATTTGCTGTCCAACTTCATCGGGAAAGACGTTCATTTCATTCTATGCAATGGAAAAAGTTCTCAAAGAAAGTGATGATGGAATTTTGATATTTGTTGCTCCTACCAAGGCTTTGGTTAATCAAGTAACGGCCGAGGTTTATGGACGTTTCAAGAAATCATATGAACACTCCGATAAAACAACTTGGGGTATACATACTCGAGAGTACCGCGAGAATCATGATAAATGTCAAATTCTTATCACAGTTCCGCAAATGCTCGAAATTTTGATTTTGTCTCCAAAAAGCGCGTCATGGGCTCAAAACATAAAGAGGATAATTTTTGATGAGGTAAAATAAATTTTGGATTTGTTCAAAAAAATTTTTTCTCTTTTTTTGGAATTACTTATTAATTTCAATTATCACAAAAGATTCATATGATTGGATTTGAAGAGGGAGAATTTTATGATCGTTTGCTTTTAATGAGCAAGTCTATTCCTATTTTAGCTCTTTCAGCTACAATTGGAAATCCAGAAATATTTCGTGATTGGTTATCTAAATCCACGGGTTCAACGAGGTTAATTAAAACAACCAAAAGATTTTCGGACTTGCAACAATATGTATATTTACCAAAATTTCCGTTGCCCTCGCTTCTTGAGACTACAGTAAACCCTAAGGAAAATCAACGACGAACCAGTAGTATAGTCCCTATTAATCCAGTATTCTCTCTGTCAAACATCATTTTGAAAGAATTTGGAATACCTGGTGACATGAAACTTATTCCACCTCAATGTGTTCAACTCTGGGATGTGATGAAAAAATTTTCGGGCGATAATCCACCTCGTAGACTTGTTGAATTGGATCCTGATGTTTATTTTAAAAATATTGGTTATATTGTTAAAGATGATGCTGATAAATACGAACAAGAACTTAAACAAGCGTTTGAAGAATTCTCAAGAGATGATTCTTTAAATGAAATGACAGAGTCAACTATTGAAGAGTTGGGAACTGGTATTAAAAAGGGTTTTGCAGATTTAGAATCAAGAGCTGAAGGTTTAGATGTTTATGGAGACGAATTTTACAAAGAAGCAATGGTTCCATTATTATGTGAATTATCAGCACAGGATAAACTTCCCGCCATATTGTTTCATTTTGATAGGAAAGGTTGTGTAGAGCTTGCACTTCATATTTTTGAACAGTTAAAATCGGCAGAGCAAAAGAAAAGAGACGATGATCAAGTATATCAATCCAAAAAGAAAGCCGCAATAGCATTGAAAGAGAAGATTGAAAAAGATTCAAAGAGAAAACGTGATGCTAAACCTACTAAAACTTCTACTAAGGAAGAAGATCCTCCAGGGTTAGAAGAACCCATGACAAAAATTTTTGATTATGAAGCACATGATCCCGATTTCACTTTTGTTAAAGATAAGGATCGAGTTTCTTCGGATGATTTTGAAGAGATAGTAGGACCATTACGCAAGATGAATAATCAGTCGTTAGTTGAAGCATTGAAAAGAGGTATTGGAGTTCATCATGCAGGCCTACCTAGAAAATACTTAAGCGTAGTTGAAATTCTCTTCAGACGACGTCATTTACGAGTCGTCATCGCGACTGGTACTTTGGCTCTAGGTATAAATATGCCATGCAAGACAGTTATATTCGTTGGAGATTCCGTGTTCTTGGGTGCTTTACAATATAGACAAATGAGCGGTCGAGCTGGTCGTCGAGGTTTCGATCTTCGTGGGCACGTGATATTTTTTGGCATAAATATTACAAAGATTAGTAGACTTTTAAAGTCGGGATTACCAAACCTTTCTGGTCATTTTCCTTCGTCTACGACACTTGTATTGCGTACTTTTAATCTTATGAATCAATGCAAGACTAGAAGTTCCGATTATAATTATGCTCAAAATATTATCAAGGGACTATTTTGCGAATCTTTATTTTCTCATGGTAATCAATATTTATCTGAACAAGTTAAATATCACTTGAGGTTTTCCATAGAATACCTAATGCGCGAAAGTCTTTTAGATAGAAAAGGCAATCTGATAAATTTATCAGACATGACTTCATATCTATATTATACGGAACCAAGGAATTTCGCATTCTCTGCATTATTTAAACAAGGAATCTTTCACAAAATTTGTAAAGGATCTACAAATGAAGCCGTAATGAATGAATTGATCTTGGTTCTTTCTCATTTATTTAATAGAATTAAATTACGAAAGATTTCAGGAGGCTTGCATCAAACTACAGAATATCCTTCAAAAGTTATCCTAGATCCCTTACCGGAAAATATTAGTATTGTTTTAGAAGATTATAACAAACGCGTCTTGAATATATATACTGAATATGTAGTTACTTTCGCAAAACAAAATGCTTCTAAATTGGGACCTAACAATATTTTACCTTTATCGTCCATCAAAATTCCTCCAAAATCCATGGATCAATCTTTAAAGAATGATCCTTTGATTTCTAAACTTGAATCTGAGGCCATTTCATTTGCTGCTCGGTCTCCTTTTATTTCCATGTGTAGTTCTCTTGGTGATATTTTCCAAGATTTAGAGGATTTAACAAGTCATATTCACAGTAAAATATATTTGGATCTTCAAAGCATACCTTATTTTAAGAAAGAAGAAAATCTTAATGCGTATATAAGCGATTTTTTTTCTCATGGTCAGGAAATCGCTCTTGTTAAAGCAAATGGAATAAGCCGCAGCGATGTTTGGCAGGTAAATGAAATTCCAAAATCATTTATTTATGCTAAATTGGTTTCCATATTTTATAATGACTTTCCTTTTTTTTTCTTTTAATAGGTCTTAAAAGATTTTCATTTGATTCTTTTGTCAATAGTTAATTGCTTACAAGAAAGAATTAATAAATTTGCTGAAAATTTAGAGTTTAATAGCAATTTGAAAGAGAATGATGAAATAGTTCTTAAAGGATTCGAGATGATTCAGAAACATTTTGAAGATAAATTCTTTGAGATTTGGGCTTGAATATGTGATTTCTTATTGATGATTAAACTACAGCAGCAATTTTCTTTTTAATAATTGCTGTTTTTCAAAAAAATATTATTCCTTATTATAAATTTATTCTTCCATTCGGAATATCAAAAACTTAAAATTGAGTTTTAAATACTAATTTATGGTTTAATAAAATTAAATTAATTTGTAAATTGGAATTTTCCTTTGTATATATAATAAAGAATAAATAAAGAATCATACCAATTTGAAGTTCTTTATGAAAAATAAAAATAAAAATTTTATACTAAAAAGCTCAGATATCTAATAATGTAACGGTCAAAATGACTTTTATACCATTAAATAGATGAGTTTATAAAATAAGTTCCGCCTTAATCATAAGATATAAAATTTAATGTTCTAGTGATGCATACCCATTGATTTTTATTTTAAAAAATATATTTACAGTATATATAGAAATGGCCTTAGTTAAAAGACGCGCTATTCAAATGTGATTTCAAAATCATCCGAAGTATGTGAAAATGCGCATCCAATATACGTAAATGAGAATTAAAAAGTTCGAATGAGGATGAAATTTCCATATAAAAAGCCTTATCCAACGCGCGAGTCTTGGCATTCTTTTAATCTTTTAATCGAAAAAAGGTTAGCATTCTAGAACTTTTTTATCTTTATTCTTCTGAAATTTATTTACAGGCTTATCATAGGAAAATAAATTAATTACGAAGCTGTCTTGTTAACTAAAGATGGTTAATTGAAAGGTAAGATGTCATGAACATTGCCATGATTATAGCGGTGTAATTCTCGAAAAAAACACAATTTCTAAGGAATTGTCGCTGCTTCATGATAAACATATAACTAGGATTGGAATCGATTCTATCAAAATCGAATTAATCGAAAATCGAATAAAAAAACATCGAATCTATTATTTACTTGGAGTCAAAAAGAAAATCTAAGCATAATTCAAAAGATCCATTGCTTCTTGGTAATTTAATTTAACGAATTCCAATATCTAAAAATAAATATATGTACAATATAATAATTCTATTTTTATAAATAAGGTTTTATCCTAAAAATAACAATAATAGTAGACTGATGTGTAACCAATAAAAGTATTGTCGATTAAGTTCGTCGGCCGTTCAGTTCAAACTTCCGGTCGGAAGTTCCGAGGAGAAAACAAAAAAAATAAAGCCTTTCTTAAACGATTATTATAGTTCACAAATCCTGATTCATGCATACAATAGCCTTCATAAAATATTTTACAATATCCTTTTTTTCATATAAAGAATCACTTATTATATGCATGACCATCGGCTAACTGATAAAGAATTCCATGAATTTTTAAAAAAGAATATCTATCTATTCATGCATTTGAAATCACCTCATTGGAAATCAAAAAATCAAAAAAATTTTATCATGTGAATAAAAAATTTAGAATCTATTTTTCCAAATGGGGTGAAATAATGAAATGATTCCGAAAATCCTTTTTAAAAAAAAAAATTATATATATTGATTCGATTTTCCCTTTTTTAAATTACATTGCAATTATGTTTCATGGTGATATTCCTAAAATCGTTATTACATCCGCTTCTCTATTCGAAGGCGAAGGACAAGGGCAAAATAATGACATCAATAATGATCATCATTACGAAGGATCATCAGAAAGAAAACCATCAAATTTCACTTCTCATCATCCAAAAGAAAATAATAAGAAATCACATAAAAGTAAGAGACATAAACGACATAAACGACCGAGAAATATACCAAAGATCATAATCACAAGTGAATCCGATAATGAAAAAGATTTCCATTCCCATAAATCGTGCACCATAAATGATGAATCTCAAGTCAATGATGATTCAAGAAATACCGAAATTAACACTAACGGGACTTCCGGCTTTGATTATGAATCCATAACAACCGCTTTGAAAACAAACAATCAAAGTCAAATTAAACAGTCTGATACGTTTGACAGTGAATCGTCCGAAATAACACTTAACAAGCAACAACACGAAGAGACAGAATATTTATTTGAGAATGAGAATGAAATCTTAATAAACAAGAATCTACCTCCAAATAATTCACCAAATAAAGAATCTAAAATGCATAAAATTATCCGATTCATAAAAAAAAAACCACCTTGCGCCAATGATAAAAGGCGGTTGAAAGTGATCATTAGGATTTTATTTAGTGATAAGCGTAATTTTCACAACGTGAGATAACCCCTGTATTTTTTAAGGAAAATGATGATATGATTGGTTATCTGCAATTGTTAAAATGTTTTGATTTATATATATGTTTATTTCTAATAAATAGAGATTATTTTTTTAAGGTGTATATTTTGTTTTTATAAACCTGGAACGAGACACTTTCAAAATATATATTTGTTTTTTTTTAAAGATAATTTGTGGTTAAAAAGGTACTCGATAGATTTAAAACTAATTAATTAAATTGATGTTACCATGCCATGCATGCCATGCTAAATGATCGGAGAATTTTTTATCATTTTTAATTTCGTTTTAATATATTTTAAAATAAGCATTTTTGATGATGATCACGTGTTTCAGATTTGTATAATAAACGAAATAATGAAAATCTTGAACAAAACAAGAATTAAATCCCGATAGATCGATCGTTAAATTTATAAAAGGCGGATTTTGTATTTTTAAATAACTGTAATGGAAAAAAATTAAAACGAATTTATCGTTTTTTAATCAATTAATATTTAATCTTCTCTTTGTATATTCGAACAAAACAAGTGTAAATAAATAAATAAATAAATATATTTATAATTTGTATGTATGTATTATATTAGATTATAATTATATTTATTTATTTATTTATTTTCCTTCTACCACCTTCTTTATGAAAAATGGTAAACTTGAGCAAAAACGAGTTTGCAAATAATTGCACCCAATCATTTTGTTTGTGTGATTTTAGAATCAATTTACTTGGATGTCGGGATGAAAAGAATTATCAAACCGCAATTCAAGTGTTAATTCCCTTTACATTTATGATTGTGGTAATATCGATATCATTTCTTTATTATCGAGTTAAAGTAAAAGGACAATCAGTTTTTTTCCCCGCAACAAGAGAAAGAGGTGAATGTTTTGATTTATTTTTTTTATTAAAAAAAAAAGCTCCATGTAACAAATTAAAAGTTGTAATCTTTTTCTAATATTAGGAATGATTCGTCCACGCCCACAAGACTCATTTCACATCGCCGTAGGGGTGTTTAATTTTAGTCAAATGATAGTGTCAACATGTTTACTTACGAATTCATTTCCGAATATAATGACGGCAGAAATAGTCGTATACGTGCCAAAATTACTCGGGGTTGCATGTGCGGCATTATATCCTATAAGTATCATATATTCCACTCCAATAATTAAACCAACAACGTATTATTTAAGGCTTCAATGGAATCCAAGTAAAGTTTTTATTGATGGACTTGCCATGTATTTAATGCTGGGACCTTTATTGACGACGATGCCCCTTTCAGCCATCACAGGATATTTTGCGGATAAGAATGAACAAGTGTTAGCCAATAAAGTATTTGTGGCTCACACATTCGTGTGGAGTTTATGGACAATTCAATATGACATCACATTATTATACGTTTATTATAAACTAATTTGTATGTTAAAGGAATACATTAGCATATTAAATAAAAGGCAAAGTATAGGTTCTGACACTGATGAGAAGATAAGAAAATTAAATAGCGCAGCTTACAATTTATCCTGGATAGTATTTGCCGTATTTTCATTGTTTTTTATCACTAGTATAGAAGGAATTCTTGTTGGTTTCAATTTCAAACAACGATTAATGGATAAAACGGATTTTAGTAGCAAATTAAGAAGAATTGTTTATTTTCTTTCTTGGAATTTCACAGCACCAGTTTTCACTTTTATAGGTCAAATAGGATTCCTTTATGATACATTAGCGAATAAAAAAACATCGCAACATAATAGTAATATCGCTCCAACGAATAATATTAATTTGTTATTACCACCTATTGAGCAAAAACCTTCTCCGGTAATTCAACCAAATATTGAAACCGTGAGTTTACGCAGTTCTGTATTTATTAATGTTCAATCAAAGTCTGCTCAACAAAGTAAAGCCACAAGTTCAACCGCATTCTATAGTTCACACGCCTCATTCAAAAGTAATCCATCTATGACTACCAATAACAGTAAAAATATAATACGTAACAACTCAATATCATTGGATGGAAATGCAACCATATCTTCAACGATGGATCAAAGATATCAAATCACTTACTTAGAAGAAGAAAGTGAAAATATGGTTGATGATGAAAAAACTTCACCTGATGCGAGAAATTCTTGGTTACGTAAGAAACCAGTAAGAATGACAACAAATACTAGCGTTAGTGACAAAAGTATATTTTTACAAGATTAGGTTAATGATGTCATTCATTGTATCATAATTTAATAATTAAATCCAAATTCTTTTTTTTTTAATTTAACCCGATGAGACAAATTAATGTAACTTGACAATTTCAAATAATAATTGGAAATAAAAAATAAATTATCAGTTACCGTTATTATTTTATGTATTTTTTTTTAATATAATTAAATTTTGAAAAATAGCTACGGATAATTTATCACGTGTTACTGACAATAAAATAAATTTTGATTTTGTGCAAAATAACGAAAAAGAAATGATCATCGATTTGTTTTGATCGACATGTAACAATCAAATCTTTTCATTTCAAGCAAAAATTTCTCTTTTTTTTTTTTTTTTTTTTTTTTTTTCAAAAGAATGGAATCGATTACATTGTTGTTTACATTATTATTTGCTACGATAATTTATATTCTTTTTGAAACTCAACGTAAAAAATCAAATCTTCCAAATGGAAGTATTCCTCTCCCGGGACCAAAACCACTTCCAATTATTGGAAATTTACACCAATTGAAAGGTTTATCGTATCAAGGTTTTGTTGACGAGTTTACTAAAAAATATGGTCCAATATTTCAAGTTCGATTTGGAGCAAATCCCTGGGTCGTTATAAACGATTACGAGATCATTAGAGATTTATTGATTAAACGAGGCTCTATTTATTCTTCAAGACCTGTAAGTCATAAAAATCATCAATTTATTTGAGCAGCAATCAATCTGATAATTCTGACCTTTTATTTTTTTTATTTTTATTTTTATTTTTAAAAAAAATAAAAGTTTAATGAGGCTTCTACAAGAATTTACTATGAAGGAGGAAAAAACATAGGATTCTCTCCGGTATGTTAGTTGATAAATAAAAAAAAAGTAACAATTAATAAGTAAAAAAAAATTTTTTTTTTTTTCCTTTAAATTCGTAGTACGGAAAATATTGGAGAGCTATGCGTGCATTAGCACATCAAGCACTTACACAAAAAATGGTTGATAACAATTATCGTAACATTATTCAAAGGAAATAAAAAATCTCGCGATAAAATTTTATAATCATTCTTCACAAGGTTTTGATCCTACCAAGGATATGAGGTTAAGTTTAATCGATTTACTTGCCACCATATCATATGGACAAAAATCCGAAAATTTATCCCAAAAAATAGAGCAAATGATTTTTGAATTTGGTGAAATTCTAAATCCAAGAAATTATTATATTGAGATGTTTCCATGGTTAAAATATTTTCCGTTTCTGGCAAATAGATTATATTCTTTCGCTTACAAAGCAAAGGCATTAGTTAGGGAAATATCTACAGAATTATTAAAAGATTTACGTCAAAGATTGCAAGAAAATGATGGTGAAGAAAATAGTTTTGCTGCTCTTGTATTGAAAAATATGGATATTTCTTCTACTATTGTCACAAAACCTTATGAAGATTCTTTGGAACTCGATGAAGATAATTCATTTACTTTTGACGAGGTGGATTTTATGAATCTAAATAATTCTTTTTTAATCTCGGGTACTGGCACTACGGTTTCTGCTATACGCTGGTCTGGGTACGTGTTTTACTCGTATAAAATAAAGTATTTTTTTTTTTATATATTTCATTTAAAAACAAAATAATTTTATAATGATAAAAGGCTATTCTTGTAAACCATCCGGAAGTACAACGTAAAATTCAGAAAGAATTGGATGAATGTCTTCAAGGAAATCGTTTTCCATCACCTCAAGATGACCCAAAATTACCTTATCTCCATGCTACCGTTAAGGAATGCTTTAGATACAGGTAAGAATGTGTTTAAATATTTTATTTTTATTTAAAATAAAAATACTAAAACGCGAAATGTTACAGGCCAGATAGGAATTTTTTATTGCAACATTCAACTACAAAAGATGATATATATCGAGGTTATCATATTCCAGCAAAATCTACCATACTTGTAAGTTATAAATCCGCTCATACAAGTGAGAAACTTTTCGAACGTCCAAATGAATTTTATCCTGAACATTATCTTGATGAAAATGGACAACTTAGGAAGTATGATGAGTTAAGAGATCCTTGGGCTTTTGGTAAAGGAAGAAGAGCTTGTGTAGGACAACATCTTGCTGAAAGAAACTTACTTACTACAATTAGTTATGTATTAACTTTATTTGATATTGAAAATGATATTGATCAAACTGGGAATCCGATTAAATTAAATTTAAAATATGTTGAAAGTGATCAAGAGGGTAAAGAACCTTATAAATTAAGATTTGTTCCTAGATCTGGTGTCACCCTCGAGAAAATCATGCAAATGAATTAATTAATTGTAGATTAAACTTATAAATAAATATGTATCGATATGATTTTGAAAATTCAAAATAAAAATATAAATTTAAACCTAAACTCGTAATTCGTAATTCGTAACTCTTTTTTTTTTCCTAAATATAACGCCAAATGGTATTTCCTATGATATCAATTTTGATCATTTGATATGTCCAAAATATCCGTCAAAGAATTAGAAAACAATTTTAGAAAAGATTTTATATTTCGTTTTTAATTTTCTCGTTTTTAACATTATAACATGAGAAATTTGAGAGATTTCATAAAGAAAATACAAGATAATATTATTATATTGCATGGCGTGTAGCATTTTATTTTGAAAAAAAAAAAGATTTATTTTTAAACATTAAACATATCAATAATTTCAACGTTTCATATTGTTTTCTTTTGTTCTAACTTTGTGATAAGGCATTACCTTGTTTTCTCAATTTTTCTCTACCGTAAAGTATAAAAATTCCAGCAATTTCAAAGATCAAATAAAAAAAATATCCAAAGGTTGTTGCTTTTGTACCTTCACTTGTCCAACCAAATAATGAATTTAATAATGCCCATCCTTCATTATCTTTGGGGTCGCAACAATTTAATTTCCATAAAATAACTCTTTTAATACCTACAGCTTCTTGAATATATGAACATGCCTCGGAAAAATAGGAAGCTCCAATAAATGATAACGTGATTATATTAAAAATGAAAAAATTTCGTAAGAAAACGTGATGAGAACCCTTATAAAGTAAATAACCCAAAAGCACGCCTAAAGATAATCCCAAAAGTATTGGAATAATTAATGATGAAAAATTATTGAACCCAACCTGTATTAAAAATATTTTGAGTATAAAAAGTTAAAATTTTAATGTAAAGTATATATCAATCAGTATATTTAATTACCCCGGCGATAAATATGTAAGATTCAAAAGCTTCACGGCAAATCACAGTAAATGAGATCAAATAAAATGTAAAGAAATTCTTTTGCGCCTCACTTCTTTCAATATTCATTCGTGTCGCATATTTCATTCGTTCATTCAATTTTTCTTTCCATAGGTTGATTCTTATCATACTCCATGCCATGTAAGTGATTAAAGTTGAAGCAAGTAACAAAAATATTGCTCCTGTAATTAAAAAAGTTGAACCCTTTAATAAAACAAATGAAATTATCTATCATGCTCATTTGATAATTACCCAATATAGGATCTTTTTCCAGAAAATTTATTGTGAATTCCTTAAATAATCCCATAAGCATTATACAGACATTTATCGAAAAAAATAATCCTAAAATTGTTCCTATCCAAATTCGTTTTTTTAAAGATTTTATCAATTGTTCACCTTCCGTAAATGTATCAAGGCAGCCAATTAATATTAATAAAGTAATCGTGCATTCGAATGTTTCCCGTAATACGATAAAGAATGCTGGAACGTGAAATACTTTTTCCATCGTATTTTTTATATGAAATAAAACTGCACTAATAAAAATTAATTTTTTAAATACATGTTAATTGAATATTTAGGTGCTCATTATACTTTATATACTTTAAAAAAAAATTTATTGAAACACAAAATCATTATATTCAGGTTTAATTAATATGGTGTAATGTTAGAAGAAATTTTTATTAATTATATGTCCCTAATAAAGGCAATGAATCAACTCATATTCCGAATTAAATTGGCCATTTAAAAGTCAAAAAAAAAAAAAATCGTTTTTTTTTAAAACCATGATTGGTACCGTCATTTGTTTCAAAAAAGTTGCAAGAATGCATTCAACCAAATATTCGAACGAGCGTAATAAATCAAAGATTGTCAAATGTAACATATTACAAACCTATCAATTTTCATTTTTTTTTGAAATCTTATTTTTTTTTTGTGATCGTTATAATATCTTTTTTGGTTGAAAATAGATATTGAATATTATACTGTTATATTTTTTTAGTAATTACAAAGTTCTTTTTTTATACTATAGTATTTAAACCTAATTAAGAGTTACTATAGTCATTTTTACTTAATAAATTTTATTTTATTTTAAAAAGATTTTTTAGAATTAAATTTAATATTTTTTTAACTAATATATTTTTAAAATTAGATATATTTATGAATTTAATATACTTAAATATTTAAATATACTTTATTTATAAAAAAATTATAAAACTATTTAATATTATAATTAAATATTATATTAATTTTAAAAAAAATAAATTTATTATAAATTTATGATACTTTCTATAAAATTATTAATTAAAAGTTATGATTAAATTTGAATAAAGTCTATAAACCAAATTTTTGGTTTATTATTTTAAATTTATAATTTTAAAATATATTACTTATTATTATTTATATAAAAGTTAATATAATTTTTTATTTACATTTAATATTTATTATTCAATATACAGTGACGCTCAAAAGTATTGCATCACCCGAATACAAATTTTTAAATAGCATTATCTTATGATTAAGAAGGCGCAGCGGTATC